CCCATTCGCTGCCTCCATTGAAATCCACGTGCAGTCCGACCTTCGCCCCAGTTTCGTTGAGCCAAGTGGTGCACATCTCATGCAGGAGGCGAGTTTTGCCGATTCCCTTGACGCCGGCCGTCGCCTTCATGCTGCACTTTGGCAGCGTCCCCTGCTTCCAGTGGATTGAATTGGCAACATCCATGACCCCGCGAATGTATTCAAGGAGTTCCCGCTTGGCCTCCGTGCGCCCCAACAATGCAGGTTTCATCGGTGCTGGCCTGCGCACCGTCCAGCTCGACGATAGGATGGCCTGGCAATGTTGCATTTTTCCGCATTTTTGCTGCGTGGTTGCGAAATATTCTTTTTGGCTCTCCAAAACCACCCCCCCGTCCTCGATGGCAGCCTGCTGCCCATCTGCCTGGGAAAGAGGCATCAAGTTGGAGCCTTCGTTTAGGGTCAACTCAACTGCTCGAAGATGTGACAATACTCAAAGTCATAGGGGAACAACATGGGATTTAAGGGCCAGCAGTCCCTGCCTGCAATTGTCAAACAGGCAGCCAGAGACTTCTTTCTGTCACAGAACAGTTCTCGCATGCTTGGGGGAAAGGTGTTGTTGCAAGCGTCTTGCACCCTGCAAATGGGGGCCAAGATCACACCGACTGCAACAACCGCTGGCTCAAACAGTTGCGCGGTTCCTTCCCCGCTGTTTCATGTTTTTGCGAGACGCTGACACTTCATAACAGATCAAAAAGAAGCATTGGGCACTTAATGCAAAAGCCGAGCACTAGGAAAGCAAGGAATACAAGTGATACCAAAACCGAAACAAAACCAACAAACATCCAGCAGGAACATTGCCCATGGACGCAACCATTCGTGGGGCTCCACAGTGAGTCGCATCACGTGCGCCAACACTACAGCCAGCTGAAGCCCAAAAAAATGCGCTGTGCCGTGCCCAAACGCGATCTTGGGATTTCATGGTTCTGTGGATGCGATCACAGCAAAAATACACTGTGCACACTTTAGCAATCTCCTCCATGCTCGTGCTGTCGGAACAAAATTTAACCTTCGGATTGCATTGTGTCTGCAGCAGCAACGACCATGGCAGAAGGGTAGGTCTTGCTCTTCAAAAGGCAGGCGACTGGAACAGCAGGCTCTTCAATATTTGCGGGTTCCCCCTCGACTGTTTGATAGTTTTGCGCTAACCACTCACACCAAATCAGGCAGATATGAACAGGTACGGAGAAAATTGAACAACAGAAGGGGATGGAATGGCAGCAACACGGGCAAAACATCGAGCAAGAACACTGCCAGTGGACGCAAAGCCGGGAATGGTTGAGCTCACATTCATAGAATGAAATTGTGCCTGCAGCAGCAAGGGCCCCAATGATTGCAAAGACATCAGAGTTTGCCCTCCCTCTCCCCGGCAGACGTGCTCTTTCAAAAGCAGGCTGGGGGCAAGCGCAAAATCACTCACAACGATCAACGGCACGTCTCAATCAATGTCGACCAGCAGGAATGACCGACCCCCAACGAGGAAAGGCAACCATCCGTTCATGGGGGCTCCATACCGAGCCTGCCAACGACACGAACCGCCGCAATCTGCAAAAATGCTATCTTGGGATTTCCTGGTTCTCTGGATGCGATCAGGGCAGCCCCACCAAAACCATGTGCGGGCCGCGCGGGGAATTTCAGAACCGCACGCAACGATCAGAGTCCCAGAACGCAGCCGGCCGGCGGAAGCGACCGACTCCGCCCGCCTCGGACTCCTTCGTCCGGCCGCTTGCCTTCGCCTCCTTGACCTCCGCCTCCTGCACCTTCCTCTCCGCCTCCTGGACCTTCCTCTCCGCCTCCTGAACCTTCCTCTCCGCCTCCTGAACCTTCCTCTCCGCCTCCTGAACCTCCTTCTTCGCCTCCTGAACCTTCCTCTCCGCCTCCTGGACCTCCTCCTTGGCCTCCTGCACCTTTGTCGCATTGCCCGAGTCCTCCGCCGTCTCCAAGACGGTGGCAGCTCGAGCGAGACGCCTCACCGCCATCGCTTCCTGCTCCTGGGCGCTCTCAACCTGCCGCTGGGCGCTCTCAACCTGCCGCTGAGCGCTTTCAACCTGCCGCTGGGCGCTCTCAACCTGCCGCTGGCCCATCTTCCGCTGCTGTCGCACCAGGAGCAGGTCCTGCCCAGGCCGACTCCCACGCCGAGCGCTCGAACGCGCTCGAACGGACGGCCTCCTCCAATGCCGTTTTGGCTGCTTTGGCCTGAAAAGCACCCACAACAAACGTGCATTTTGAAAATGTCACGAAAGCGCTTCTGAATCTGACCTGTTGGTAAAGGAAGCAAACACTGCTGCCTCTGCCACAAACTTCCGCAGCTGCTTCTCCAATTCGGGCTTATTAACCGAAACCTTCCACTTCCCTGCTGGATCTACCAGCTGCACTCTTCCTGAGCTCAACCGCGCCTGCAAATCCACAACGAACGTATTGACGTGCTGCTAAAGCGGCGCATGACCACTTGCATGTCTTTCAGCGTGCCGTTGTCCACAACCCGTTTGGCTTCTGCGACCACCTGAGCGAGACAAGGCTGGGACGTCGCTTTCTCTGAAGGCCCGCCGCCTCCTCGAGATCGAGCCGGTCCTGACAACCAACAAGCCCAACGTTCAAACCCGATGCACGTGTCCCCCAGGCCTGGCCACTGTTGTCCTGGCGGCAACCGGCAAAAGATGCGAACAGGCTTCGGGTCGGAGGAGTCCTCTTGCGCAGCCCCGGCGCGCCGAGCGACTCCGGCATGCCGTTTTGCCTGAAAGAGCCAAAGTGCAATCTGCTTGCGCCTGCGGGCAACTCTGAGAACTGGGCCAATATGCTGTCCTGGCACTCAGCACAAAACAAGAACATCCAAAGGAGGGACATCATGCTCCTTCAGCCCAGGAACTCCTCGAGCAAAGTCCTGGGCGGCGGCGACAAGGGACTCCTGAAACCCGAAAACCTTCGAAAAAAATGTGTCCCAAGACCCAGGCCGTGCTCGGCTGCACGAGCAGCGCCAATGCAATCCCGAGAAGGCAGAGGCACATACCTGGCCGCTGCCTACCGCGGGCACGGTAGCGTCACAAGCTTGCCAGCCTCGGCTTTTGGTCCTGGTCCGCATCATCGCCATGGCTATTCGAAAAGCGCTTGAGCGGCCTGCGATTCCTCAAGCGCTGGCACTAGACCCATCGGGCAACCACTGCGAGCTGTTGTTGTGTCAGTGTTGATGAGTACCCTCGAGCCAAGTTTCCAGAGCAAACACAAGATTGACTGGCTTCTTTGGCAACACCAACGCACGGGTTTGGATGCTCCTCCTCCTTTTCACTCGCGGCCTGAAGGTCGGTCGGGCCAAGCCTTGCAAGGCTTCGCAGCGTCCATCCGTCAGACTGGCTGACCCACATCCTGCCGCTGCATCAAAGTCCAAGCGAGATACCAAACTGGCCTGCCTGCAAAACAAGCAGCCGAAATCGGCACCGGGCCGCCAGGGGCTGAAGGGCGGGGGTTTCTGGGGTCCCTGGTCCCTGGGATCACTGGGGCCTCTGGGGCCCTAGGGTCCCTACATTCCCTAGGGTCCCTAAGGTCCCTAAGGTCCCTAGGGTCCCTAGAGTCCCTGGGGTCCCTGCACACGTGTGCATCAGACGTCTCGCCAAGGCCCCAGAGTGCGCTCATCCCTGTCAACGCACGGCGGGTTCAGGGACCTTGGGGACCTTAGGGACCTTAGGGACCTTAGGGACCTTAGGGACCTTAGGGACTAGCAACCCTGCAAACCCTACCCTAGGGACCCTAGGGACTCCGAGGACTTCAGGGACCCAGCGACCCAGGACTTCAAGAGATCCTTGGTGGCCCCAAGGATTTTGGGGCTTGAGGGGATCTTGGCAAGAACTTCACGCCGGGTACCACTCAGCCTGGGCATTCTCCAGCATCATAGGGTCATGCAAAAACACAAAATGCCGAAGCCAAGACACACACACACACATTGCAAATGGGCCACAACACCACAACATCATCTCCCGACTACAAACACGGATGTAGAAAACACCATGTAGAGACATACCAACATAAAGGCACAAAGACATAAAGATATAAAGATATAAAGAGAAAGGTATAAAGATACAAAGATATAAAGATATGAATTTGTAGAAATACAAAGATATAAATGTATGAAAATTCAAAAAGAGATACAAATACGTAGAGATATGAAGATATACATGTATGAAAATAAACATGAGTACACGAAGATAAATAGATGTATGGCAAGTTGCTCGAATGGAAAAACAACAGAAGCTTTGCCCTTCCGCGCGTCTTTGTGTCCCCTTGCGTGGCAAGCTGCAACCAACCGAAGCTTGAGAGATGACTTCACACTTCACAGGATCTCTTGCCCCCAAGACCCAGGGTTGCTGGGGTCCCTAAGGTTTTTGGGGTCCCTAAGGTCCCTGGGGTCCCCAAGGGTCCGTAAGGTCCCTAGGGTCAAAACGCCGTGTGTTGACAAGGATGGATGCACTTTGGGACTGGCCAGACGTCTTGATGGAAGGACGTTGTTTCATGGCACCTGCAGCGGACGCCCGCGTGCCCAGGGACCCAGGAACCCCAAAAACCCCAGGGACCCTAGGGACCCCAGGGACCCTCGGGACGGACCGTCAGGGCTTCACTGGGTCAAAAATCAAGGGGGCTGACAGATTGGTGACAAAGATCAAATGACAATAACCTGCACGGGACCTCTTGGCCATGACAATGGAACGCGGCGAGGGCCCGGGCGGAACGTGGAGCTCGAGGAAACCACACTGCCTGACTTACAAAAGACCTGACAGTACGACTTGACGGGGTTGGGGCAATCGCTCTCAAGGTCAAGGGTTCACCAGGTTGGAGAGACAATACAAAATTCGGGCCTGGCTCAACGAGGTCACGATTTCCAAAGATACACGGGCCTGACGGCGCGGCTTGACGGGGTTGGGAAAAGCACACAAAAAAACAACGCAAACCACTCGGGCCTCACCGGGTCAAAGAGATCAAGGTTGGGCCCAACCCTGAAAGCTCAGTTCAAATCCGCACATCAACACTGACGGCGCAATCAGCAAAAAGGCCCGAGTCGCGCAAATCATGGCACGGGACGGGGGGGGTATCCGGGCCTCGCTAAGCCAAAGATCAGGGGGCCTGACAGATTGACGAGTTGGGACCCAAACCTCAAAGATCAGTTGGCATTGATGGCCATGACAACGGAAGCAGCGAAGGCCCGGGCAGTATGCCTCGATGTCAAAACAAAGCCTGGCACGGGGAAGCGCGAAAACACGACCTTCAAAATCCAGGACCAAACCTGAAACACTGCTCAAAGGCCGAGTTGACACCAATCCGCACAGGTGCCCAGCCAAAGAGTCCCCAGTAGCACGAATTGGATTCACCTGCAAGCGGCCAACAAAAAGTGACAAAAAGGCAACTCGCGGCGCTGCGAGAAGATCTGCACGTCGAAGTCTGGGCACAGGGCACGTGAGGTCAAGAAAAACTGTGAGTCTGAAACCACGCCTTTGCACCCGCGAGCGGTTCCCTGCCGCCCCGTACCCCAGAGTGTCCCCGAATCTCGCCTTCACAAGGCCCACGTGCTTGGGGAAGCTCTTTCCAAACACGACCGACAACGTGAAAATCGTGAGAAAAACGCAACACCGGCAACCTGTCATGCAAAATCACCCTCAAAAACCACGCAAAACTGAATTTACGGAAAAACAGACAAAAACGTGTTTTTGTCCGGAAATGGCGGCCCTCGAGCCGCTTGAGCCAGGGCCGTCCCTTTAATCGTACCATTTTGTTGTCCGCCCTATAGGAAAGGGACCGGCAAGCAAGAGTCAAGATGACTACCATCGCCACTAGCGGGGCGAGGCGCAGACGAGCCCCGGCGCCATCGTCTGGCAGTCCGCGTGGACTCACGTCCTCTGGGAGCCCAGCGGCTTCGGCGAGGCCCAGGCAGAACGCCTGCCTTGCAATGGAAAGGGATTCCGAGGCCTGGGCGGCCTGGGAGGAATTCGAGCGTTAACGAGCTGTCTTCGCGGTCGAGCCACATTTGGGGCAACTACGGCGATGTGAAGGACAGGTGGCAGAGCTGCCTCAAGGAGTCCTGACAGGGAGCGACCTTCCTGAAGTGCAAACTGGACGCGCGGAACGTCCGGCTTCTGGGACACCGACGGCAGCAAGATCCAATGGCCCGAGTTGCTGGCGGGCTGCGAGTGCCAGGCCCGCGTCGAGGCCTGGCAGGTCTGGATCATGGGCAAGCAACGCGGCCTGGTGGAGGTCCGCGACCCCGGCACGGGCGAGGACTCTTGTTCTTTTTATCGTGGATGTCAGACGTAAGCGAACGCACCCGTAACTGACCCCGGCGGCCTCGAGAGAACAGCGAGGCCCCGGGGCACCCAGGGACTTAGGGGGCCTAGCGGACTTAGGGGGCCGGTTCGGCAGCAGGGCGCTCAGCGCTCGCGCTGGTTGCGCAGCCTCCAGCAGCAGAATTGCATGTTCACCCGCACGGGCGCTGATGAGCCTCAGCTTCTGGGAGCTCACCCAGGTGCTAATCTGCATGCGACGGCCTCGGATGAAGAGCGTGTCAAGGGCGCCGTGGGGTTTGGAGCTGCGGCATCGTCCATGTCGTCGATTATTATCAGGATCTGGTACAGTTTCTTCATTTCCAACTTCTTGGACGCTTCCGTGATCTTGCGCTGCTGCTGGATGATGCGCACGTAGATCCGCTCAAACACGCCCTTGTACTGCTCCAGGATGAGGCTGATGAGCGCCACGGTCTTGCCCGACTTGCTGGGCCCGAGGAAGATGCCCGTGCGTGGCACCAGGCACACCACGGGGTCCGAGGCTTGCTTGCTGGTGTACTCGCGTGGGGAAAAGCTTGATCTTCCCCATTCGTTTTGCGTTACGCAGGTTCCGGAAGCCGGCCAGCGAGTCGGGACCTAAAAGTAAAGGCCGCCACGCAGCGTGCACCTTTGGAAGACACGTTGAATGTAACACTGCCGCAACAGACAAGGCCGGAACCTCACAGAAAGGCTGGAGTCTTCTTCAGCGATCTGCAGTCTTCCGAACTCAAACTTGCTTGGAATGGGCACATGTTCCTTGCGGGGATTGAACCCGCGACCTATGGCTCATAGGACCATCGCTCTAACCACTGAGCTAAAGGAACTTGGCAATGCAAGCACCATAGCACGGCACATTTTTGTTTGCCAGAACTCACTTTTGTATATGCACGAGCGCAGCGATTTTTTGACAATCACCTCAAAACCTGCGCCCTGCCATCGAATCCGTCCCTCCAGAGGATTGAACGGGGTTTGTATATGCACGAGCGCAGCGTTTTGTGACACTCGGCCCAAAAACGCGCGCCCTGCCACGTGGCTGGCTCCACACCTGGACCTGCTGCGCGACGTGTCGGTGCTGCACTCGCCCTTCTTCGGTTCCGGAAAGCTAGAGCACTACCTTGCCTGGCGGCGCATTGTCGCCCTGCCAAGTAGCTTCCAGGTGGACCTATCAAGCTGCAAATCGGCCCAATCAGCAGGCTCAGGGAATTCTGCGCCAAATGCCTGCTAGTCCATCCTACTCCTGCGGGTTGCGCAATGCGGTGGCAAGCAAGTTGAACGACTGTTCAGAGTTCCTTCGCACGGCAGCAGCAGCCACTGCCCGAGCTGCGTGCGGCGGCTGCAACTGCCACCGTCCAACGTGACCGTGCGGCACCAGGATGCGCTGGCCTATCTGCGAGCGCTGCCCACCCAGCACCCCAGCAATGCAATCCTGTTGCCGGCGCAGGATTGACGGAAACGCAACCCAAGGCTCATGCAGCAAATGAGGCCAAGAGAATTCCAACCCAACCAACCTTCTGCTCTGAGTCACCGTTGCGCTTAGAAAGCACTTGTCAGGCTTTCCGAGCCACAAAGCTCCGCAACAGAAACGCACTTACAAGGCCAGAAACAGCGCTTTGAGCCCGGGCAACTTAAACTTCCGAAGCAAGCTGAAAAACCTTGCAGAAGTGCAAGCTGTCAAGAGACGGCAAGGTGACGCCCCGTGGGACGCTATGCACCGAACCCTCAAGCTGTAATACCAACCACGTAGAAAGGTGTATACGGACGATGCCGTTATAGCCGAACCCGTGTAAACGTTGTAAGGGAGAAGGAATGATAGTTACAACAGTAGTCCTGACAAATGCAGCGCAAGCGAAGTGTTTTCGCTCTCAATGCCGATCACGTATGTATGCAGTCACACATCAGATCTTGAACCTCAAATGTGTCTTGAGCCTTGAGCCAAATGGCGATCAATGGAACTTGGGAAGCAACACCAACAAGGACCTCAGAACAGCTACCCAATTTCGGCACGGGGCCTAGAGGGTTTTAACATCCCCCATTTGGGTCGCATTGTTCATCATGCGGTCCAAACACCACAAAACGTTCCACTGGCCACGGCTTCAACTACGAAATCGTGTCGTGCATTCTTTTACTTGCTATCACTACACCGTTCATTCGCTGTGAAACATGCCGGGTTCGATTGTACGAAAAGTGAAACATTCATCCTCCAATCGAAGCACACATCCATATGCAGGTGTATATAATACACTGTGGCCACTTCACTTGACCGCCAGTGAACATTCCAGCTGCCGCATTTGCGCATCGCGCAGCTGTCATCCATAAATGGGTTGGCCACAAAAGTCCACCAGACGCGCCCGCTTGTGATCGGTCTGCATATCTCCGGCAAAGAAACATCGGTGAGTAATCAATGCAAATCATAGCCATTCCAGATACCATGGACAATGCATAAATAATGAAAAGATATCATCTATAAGGTAATAGTCCCATCCATGAATATCCAGAGCGTCATAGTCGTCGGAGTATGTAACCATGTACACATCCATTCAACTTGGATATATGAAATCATATCATAATGTAGAGTCGTTCCGTCGCAATGGTGTTGATGAGACGCAAGCAACAGATGGGGACTAACCCACATCGTGCCGCAATCAGCATCTTCACTACGCATACCGGTCCCCAATGGACAGTCTGTGAGTGCGTCGACGGAACTCCTCGTCCAAGTTCTTCTGGGCTTCTCGTGCCCGGACACACTTCTTGTTGTAGTCCTCTGGCAACCAGTGCCCTTTCCGAAGGCACCAATCCAGCAGGGGTGTGTCGCATTTGTTCGGGTCGATGGCCGAGATGATGGCGCTCACGTTGACCGTGTAACCATTCTTGCCAAGGTTTAGGCCATCCCTCACGAATGATATATACTTACAGTTGAAAGCTAGTGCAAAACATCTGAAAATAATATCACCCACCGGGTGCACTCGGTCCTTGACCAGGAGCTTCATTTCTTCCTTGGTGACATCGAGGATTCTCGCTGCAATCCACAGCTTGTAGAATGTGTATAGTCCCTCGCATTTGTTCACCATCATACGGATATATTCGTCACGCTCCTCAACCGATCGGAAGGCTCTTGTCCGAACATTCTCCGATTGAGAAATCTTCGTTATTGTTGATGGCAAAAGTATACCTTCCTGATCGTGCTCAGTGATGTTGGGGTACCTCTTGAAATCATTGTGGTAAGGGCAGCCCTCTCTCCCCTCGAGCTTGGCATTCATCGTTCTCTCCTCACCACCTTCAAACATCCCCCACATCTTGGACAGCTGGAGTGCGATAAATCCTGCCATGTACTGAGCCTCACGCGGCTCGTCAAGGCAGATCGCCATCCGTTGGGAACTTATAATGTCCCGTGACGCCAGATCGGTGTCGCGGTAATGCCAACCGCCGTCTTCTTCTTCTGACGCATAGCCGGATGTATATCCTTGCGTGTCCATGTCGTCATCTTCTCCCGGAACTTCCTCCGCTTCGTCTTCATCCTCCTGTGCTGCCGCATCGTGGTTAGCTTCTTCCTGTGCACGCCTGGCATCTCCAGAGACGTTGGGGTTTTGGTTGTCCTCCTCGTCATCGGAGTTGATGTGAATGTAGTATCTTCCGATGGAGATCAGTTGTGCCTCGCACTCCAGGCATAAGCAGAAGCAGGTGGGGATCGCGGTCGCACATGATGGACATATCCGGCACCTCAGTCCTTCCCATGTCTCGTCATTCAGGATGACGACTTTGCTGATTTCGTCCCGGACCTCGTTGACCTGTGCATTGAACTCTTCCATCTTGTTGATTCGATAGAGTTCGCAGGCACGATTAACCATGTCAACGATGTAGTGCAGATTATCGGCACCTGTCTCAGTCTCCGGCATCCTCTCGCTGATCTTTGCGACGTTCTGGAGGAACATCGCAGCCGACTCTTGGGAAGAGTTGACAAAGCCAGGGCAGATCTCGTTCTCCACACACTTCGAGTACGCCCTCTTGATGTCAGCGTACTCCAGGCGCTTCCCTCCGTTGCTTTTGCCAATCCAAATGGACTTGACCTCATAGAACGGGATCACGTCAAAGACCATGAAAGTCCCATTAGCCGCGACTCCAGCCCCATACCGCGCGAGGGTTGCACTGGGAATGTAGATGATCGCAATCGGATCCCCTCTCCTCACGTTCCGCAGCGTTGTCTTCGTCGCCACGTTCATCTCATCCCATGGAGCAAACGCCCCGAAGTGCAGTGCTAGCCTGTTGCCGCCATCGATTCCGCCGGGGACTAACCCACAGCGTACGATGCTTGGCAGGTTTTCCACATACGT